GTAGGTGGGGCTAGATCCTCACAGGCTCCGATTTTTGAATTTCTCTTTTGGTGAAATAAAAAACTTTAATATTTCATTTTTATTAGTGCTTTGAATTTGAACATTTTTCGAAAATGTGTTTTTAAAAATGAAACAAAGGGAAATCCAAAAATCGGGCTTTGTGAGGATCTGGTCCTAAGGGTACTCTACAAGTTAAAAAACGCCCGAGCTTGTTAGCTTGTATCCTTATTGTGAAATCCTTCCCCACGTACAGGGTGTTTTTGACCAATAAATTGACCATAACTCATTAGTTTATTGGAAATTTGGGGGAGATATTTCACTCATAATCTATCCTATCCTAGACTAATATTCTCCAAAAATTTGGGTGAAATCGAACGAGAAATAACAAAGTTTGTTTCTGAGGGGGCCCCCATTAAGCACTTATATACTATGCCTTCATATCCCTTCTTATATAAAGTGAATTTAAGTCATTCCGACTCTAACCCAACCCAACCCAACTGAACTCACCTCAACCTAATCTAACCCAACCCAACCCAACCCAACCCAACCCAACCCAACCTAACCCAACCCAACCCACCTCAACCTAATCTAACCCAACCCAGATCAAACTAACATACACAAGTATACTATATCTTCTTATCGATTTCCATATCAAAATGAATTTCCAATACATTTTAATCCTAAAAAACTCAAACTTCATCCACCTTCACACAGTGAATTGAATTTCCAGGAAATTTATTTTATGAGTATTTTATTTGAATTTCCTGGAAATTGGATATTACCATCGCATGAAACTTTTATGTATTTGATATGATGAACATATTAATTCGAATAATTTCCAAAAGTACCTAATTGCGTACGATTAACTTTTTTATCTTTGTCTGTATTTGATGTTGTTGATGAATCTCTTTCATTCTATTTAAAAAGAAAAAAACAAATGAATTCATTCAGACGAAACATGATCAAGTATATTCTTCAAATCTAAAACATTGGAACTCTCTTCTTCTGTGAAAACTGAAATATCAACTATATTCTGTTCAAAAGAATGATGATTGTGAATATTTTTGCAATAGTTCGAGAACGATGATAAAATAGTTCAATTTTTCGAATTACTTGAATCATTTGTGCTACTTTCAAAACATTTTTTCATTTGTTGAGATTTGATAAATCTTCAAATAAAAAGAAAGAATTCAAAAAAAAACATAATAAATATCTTTTTTTTTCTCTTTACTTGAAAAGATTAAATTATTAAGATCATGGAATATAAAGGGATGTTTAAAAAAATTATAAATAAACGAAGTTCATCATATTGATTATGAAAAAATTGGTCGAATTGTTGTTGGTCTTAAAACATTTGAAAGAACATAAATATCTTCTAAACATCCAACCTATATAAAAGACAAACATAACAAACAATTTGTATTCCAGTTAATGCTTGAGCTTGTAATGAATGATGAATTTTATATATCCATTGACATGGTAAAAATGAATTGTGATCAACAAAACCTTAAAATCAAAAAGTAGCTAATAACTAACATGCAATAAAATCGACTTATTCATCCAAATTCGAAAAAAGCTACGTAGTTATTATCTCTAAAAAATGCATACTTAGCAAAAGTCGAAGCAATTGCTTGACGAACATGTATATCAGGGTACTGTTGTTTTAATTGTTGTTCAAGATAAGTTAATCTTCGAAAATCAATATCATCCATAAGTTGAACTAGAGCAAACTATTTTATATACATAGAAAAAAAAATTATTATAATCATAAATTTCTTTTATCTACTTGAGCAAGAGTAGAGGAACTTATAGTATGTTGAATAGAATCTTCTAATAATTTAATTCCTATGATTGTAAATGCATAACTATTAATTAATAAAAAATGTAATAATGTTCGTAAAGCATTTAGTGAAACATGTATAACACGTGCATTATTATCATTAAGACATATAACCTTGAACTGTCTTGTGAATCAGTTGATACAAGTGAACGTTGATTAATAAAAGAACTATGAAATGAATTTGATAATGATGATAGTGGTAAAAGATGAATTGTTGTTTTAATTAATGTAACAAGTAAATTTGCACATGCACCACGTAAATGTAGATCACCGTATTCACATAAAGATAAAAGATATGTAATATCTTAAAGAAAAGAAAAAAAAAGATACCTTGATGTTCGATAAATTTTAATGTATTACAAGTCATATAGAGATGTGAATTTCATTTTTTCCTTTAGAGAATTCAATTTTAATTATAAAATTATATCTAATCAGAAATCTTCAAAGACTAAAGAAAAACTCCTTAGAGGATACAATTGATTTCATATCTCGAACTTCGGCTTAGAACTGTTTGAGGTAGTTGTGTGATTGTATGATTTCAATCTCTGATGTATAAATGCAGGCTTTGAGCTTCAATAAAGTGTTCTACTTGACATCTTTTCGAGTCTGATAATGTTCTAGTCTTTTGTTGATTTCAAAAAAATTAAAAGTAGGAATAGAACTAGAGCTGCTGAATCAATATTGAGAAATCTCCTTTCTTGAATTTTCAGATTCCAAGATATATATACATGTTTCAACAATTTAATAGTGAAATTGTCATATCTATCAGATAACTTTCACTAAAACTTTGAGATCTTAACCAATTGAAGCCACATCAACTAAACTCTACCACAATCCCCTTCACCTAAGCCCTCCTACTGTTACGACATTAGAAATAATTTTGGATTATAAAATAGATCTATTTTACTGAAGTGAAACTTTACAAAAAGAAGCCTCAAACAAGTATTAAACATACTTTCAATAAGGTAATCAAATCGACCAATTTGTTGATAAATACGATAGACATATTGGTATAGCACATTTAACACTAATACATGATTCATCATTACTTTTTACCGTACCATCCATATTAAGCATATATCTAATTGGAAAAAAAGTATAATTGATTAACAAGTTTAGCAGCTGATATTCATTTTTCAATATTAATCATTGATGTTGAATCTAATTCATCATTCATTTCAATAAATCAACGTTGATATGTTGAATAAGCTATTGCTTTAGAAAAAAAAAATTCTTGTTTTTTTTCTCAATATTTACCTGTTTTTAAGGCTTCACTAACACAAGTTTTTTCTATAGATCCAATTTGAATTGAAATTAATAATTGTTCAAAATCAAATAAATTTGAATAACGAAGTAATTGAATCATTTTTTTTATTAAATCAAGATAATCAATTATTAAATGTGTATTAGCATTTTGGTTTTGATGTTCAAGTAATTGATCTATTAAAATAAAAGACAATTATAATGAATTGAAATTATTATTAGAAAGAAAACTTACCAATTACGTTTGTCATTAAAAAACGTGCTATAACCATAGGATAACACATTTGCTGACTAGGCCATGAGAAGTTTCTAAGACTAATTTAGTCATTGATTATATATTTCAAAAGAAAATTATTTATTGTTAATATTAGGAAAAGAAAAATTCGTTCTCACTCGACTTCATACTTTAACTATCACGATAGCCAGTGAACTCCTATGACTAAACCACTCTTAAGTTGCATGAAACTCTATGCTCGATTACTTTCGAGGGCAGATCGCTTCAAATGATAGACAGTTTCTCAGTTCGTATTTCATCAAATAGTATCAGACTGCCTATTCTACATTATCTCAACAGCGTCCTCTCCTGCTAGAAGTTTTAACCGAAACATGGTAGAGCAATTCTTTTCTATGTTTCTATTCAACCGTATGACATTTGTCTGATTACTTCTTTAAAAAACTTGTCTTAGACGACAAAGATTTTCGTTTTACTTTCTTTAATTTCTTTATCATTAATCGGTCGACCAAGACTACGAAAAATAAGTTCATAATATTCTGATAAAATGGTTGAATCTTTTTCGGATGTATTACATTTGCTAATTCGGCAAATCACCACAGAACACCTAATCGAAATTTTAAAAAAATCCTTATTATAAAAATAACCTTTTAAAGCATTTGGTCCAACATTAGGATTATGTTTTATAATTCGATATAATTCAACTTGAATTCTTGTTAAATCTGCTTCTTTTAAATTCTATTTTATAATTCATACAAAATTATACAGAAAAAAAGAATTTCTTTTATAATACTGTAACAAATTCATTAAGATTTTCTTCAGCAGTCACTCGTACATTATAATCATTTTCGTCACATGTTGTAAATAATGTTTCCACAGTAGCTTTAACTAATTTAAAATAGTTTTCATTGTTACCTCTAGATGAGAAAAACATTCTATAAGAGATATAAACAAAATGAAAAACAGAAAAAGATCCAATTATTTACTTGATTATTAATATTTTTGATACTGTTGTTGAAAGTAATTTTAAAAATTCAAGTGATTTATTTAGTTTATCCATGTTGTTTAATTAATATTCAATTCATTTATTTTAAACACCACATTATTTGATAATCATAACGAATGAATGAATAGTCAACTGAAAAAGCCTAACATCGATTGAATATTCGTAAACACCATTAACATTTCTGTTTTTTCTATTAATACATGGCGCTAGATTACATCTCTATAAAATAAGACTGTATAAAGTGAAAACCTCATCATCAACCAAAATTCTTATAACTAAAATATAGGCTTTGCTACACGTTCAATAGGGATGTGTTTCGATCTTGTAAATACTTAAAGTAAATCTAAAGACATTATTTTGCGCTGGTGTGGGCGGATGTGGGTCCAAGTACTTCATTTATTGACATGCTCCCATCTAGAGCCACGCTCTCTGCCATAGTCACCGTCATGACTTGGTTTAATATTTTATTTCTTACATTTATGTCTCATTTTTTTGTCTTATTATTGTATATTATTAATAAGAAAAGTATCTGATGAAAAATAAAATAATGACGTATGATGTCTTTATTTATTGAATGAAAACGAAAATTTTTTTCTTTCTATGGTGTAACATTTGTTATTATGACAGACATGTTTTTGCTGCAGTCACATGTCAAATCAAATTTTGTATTGATTTCTTTTCTGTAGTGAAAATTCTATTCAGATTGGCGTACTTGTTCAGAAGTAAATAATAAGGAACACTTTTGTACATATTTGGCCGAAATCTGTAATGATCCTCATAGTTATGGTGTATTTATTCTCTACTCGATGGTGTTGATGAAAGTCGGCAAACAAATGCATAAAGAAATTAATAGTAATGATAATATTACAAGTAAAAAACAAAAATATTTCCTCTTTGCTTATTTTGCTTTTTTTAATCATCACTTATCATATTATTCCAAAATTAATTCTTTAACGAATGAAAAATTCTAATAAAGAATCTATTGACATATTGGAATATTTAATTGAAAGTATATCGACTGTGTCATAAATTAAATTCATCGAATATGATCTCAAATGACTTATATGATATTAAATGTTGCTGTTATTCAGTCATATCGTAATTAGATTTCCTTGTTCATCTCTACACCATAATAATATATTTAGAAAAATTTAAGTAGGAAAAAACGCAATCCAATTCTTCAATCTGTATTAAATCGATTTGAAAAAGATTTGATGTGGAAATCAACTAAAAACTCATTGTAATTTCATGCTTTCAAAAATATAAAATTAATATATGTATACTTGTCTTTAATTTTTCTAGAATTGATTAATACCTGTGTACTTTGGGTGTGGGTGTGCCTATGGCTGTGGTTTCTTCTTCTTCAATCAACCACACTCCATCTTATGAGATTTTTATTTGAACTATCGAATATCCAATGAAGTTCATGACATTTAAGAGGGTCCAAGTTCATGATTATTTTACTAATGAAGAAAGTTCCAATAACAAAAAAATTGATTTTTGAACTTTGACTTGATGTCTTGTTGTAGAGACCGATTTTAGCGAGAGTCATTTGTCATCAAAATTTCAAGAACGAACATCAGATCTATCAATTTGTACGAATGATGTAAAAGCCAAACTATTACTATACCTACATCTCATAAGAGAAAATTAGCAACAAATTTTGAAACATTAGCAAAAAACCTATTTCGGAAAACGAAACTCACAGTATGCACATTACATAATGCTATTAGTCACGAATGAAAATCGATTCATCAGTTTGAAGATTTCAAAAATATCTAAAGCACAGAAATTTTATCTTGAGGTACGTTTCACAGTCATATATGATCTACGGATCAAATTAATAACACAATAAAGAAACTTTTTTTGGGAATGGTACAAAAGTCGAAGTCAATATTTTGTTTATTAAATACATGGAAGAAATATTAACTTACTTCTAATAGAATATTATAAATCAATGAATATAAATTAATCGTTGATTTGTCTTTTTTTTTATCGATAATCTGTACATTAAGAGAAAAAAACGAAATGTAAAAATGACCATATATTTCATTTAAAGTGTTGTATGTCAAATTAGAATCCAAATAAACAGACACTAGTTAAACAAGAGAAGGGATATAAGAATAACAATATTTATATAGATGTATCTTTATATTTTACTCGTGTAAATCTAGTGTCCCTGTGTATATTTTGAATTTTACTTGCAATCGTTGTATGCATTGTAGGTATATAGTTTTGTTGTTTTCGTGTCGTAGTATATTATAACATATGCTTTTATATAATAAATTTTACTAAACTATATACACATAACAAGAGCAACCATCTTAATTCTATAAATGCTTTATCATATATAATTAAATATTATTAGAAGCAAATTATGTCTTTTAATTCATTTCTCTTCTCATAAATAAAATACATTTGTTCTTAGTGAAAATCTGTTAGAATAATATCTATTGAATATGAAGTGTGATTATGAAGGACACACAGACTCAAACTCATGCTCACATCTACACGTGGCATTATTTCGATACTCATTCTTCCTACCTATGTTGGAAAAAACCTGGGCAACAATGCAAATAACATTGATTCATTTTATTATATTTTTATTTTGTTTCTTCTCTGATTTGTTGAGATGATGATGCAAACTTCAAAAGAAAACATGATGACTTGAGTATAACAACTAAATCAACAACTAAATGAACTCATGTTGTATTTTGAAAACAAGATATTTTAGTCATGGAAACTAATTATGTTTTCAACATTTTTACTCTAACTACACAAATGAATTCTTTTTTTTTTCGTTCTTTTTTCTTTTTTTGCTAAGACACTTATTTTATTGATTTAAGATGTGTTGCATATAGAAACTTAGATAAAACAAGAGAGTTTTCTAATGAAACCAGATAGGAGTAAAGAAAAAGAAAAAACATGAAAACAAAAAATATAGCGACTTATTTTGAAATTCTATTTGTAACGTTTTGTTTTTTCTTTCCTACAAATCATGCGCAATTGATCGATAATACAATTATTCAGTTATTGGTGACACATGTTTCGTCACTGTCGTTTTGTCAATAAAAAAAACTCTTGAAATAAAAAGAAAACGAACGAACGAACAAAAAATTGGGCAAAGAAATACTTCAAGTCTTCTATAGCAACAAAAATAACAAACCAAAAAATACAAAGTGTCAACACGAAAAAAGAAAAAAAAACTATTGAAAAAAATCATTTACGAAAAACACAACGTCATTATTATCATCAAAATCATCCAAATGGACAAAAAGCAACATTCAGAATCAACTGCTAGTGGATCATCTTCTCCTTCCACAATAAATAAATCCAAAAAAACATCATCAACAACAGCAGCAGCATCACTACCAACAACAACGACAAGCAGAAATGCAGTACTTCCTCAAACTGCTCGTCGGATTCTTCAAAATTTCCTTTTGGTATGGCTCGATGCCAATTTTGATGAGTCCAAAGACGATTATGAAAAACCAATGAAACATCTGCAACATATAGTGGCAACGGTCGCAGTGTTTACAGACGTTGATGAATCCATTGATTTTCTCACTGACATTGAGAACGAAAATGTATTTATGATCGTATCAGGTGCCCTGGCACAACATACAATACCGATAATTCAACAATGCCCACAGCTAGTCTCAATTTATATTTTATGTGACAATCAATCAATTCATGAGGAATGGGCCAAAACAATACCTAAGGTAAAAGGTATATACACACAAATCGAACCGATTTGTAAAGCATTACAAATCTATCAAGAAAATTGTGATCGAGCTATGATCTCGATAAGTTTTAATAGAATCGATCCATTATTTATGTATACACAATTGTTAAAAGAAGCACTTTTGCAAATAGAAGATAATGATGCAAAATCGATTAAGGAACTCGTTGAATACTGTCGTCTTCAAAGCGATGCTTCCGAAAAAACACTTGAAAAGATTGAAGAAGAATATCGTAATCATTCACCCATTTGGTGGTACACAGGTCCATATTTTATCTACTCATTGCTCAATTATGGTCTTCGACAAATGGATGTCGATATTATCCTGAAAATGGGCTTTTTCATCCGTCATTTACATAATCATATTACCGAATTACATCGTGAACAACAAGGGAACATGCCAACAAAATTTCAAGTCTTTCGTGGACAAGGTTTGTCCATAGAAGATTTTGAAAAAATGAAACAAACCAAAGGAGGACTTATGTCCTTTAATAATTTTCTGTCAACAAGTCGCAATCGCGAGATATCTTTCACCAACTTTGCACGACCAGCAGCATTTAATACAAATTCCGTTGGTATTCTCTTTATTATGAACATTGACACGGATATTTGTGCAAATTCATCAACACCATTTGCTGAAGTAAGCAAAGTTGGCTACTACAAAGATAAAGAGGAAGAAATACTTTTTTCAACACATGCGATTTTTCGTATCGATCGCATTGAACGAATTCACGACAATCACTCTAATCGGCTATACGAAGTCAATCTCACGATTGTGGGTGATGACAATCATGAATTGAACACACTTACAGCACATATACGTCAGGAACTTGGTGGGCGCAGAGGATGGTCTCGACTTGGTGAGATACTTATTCAACTGGGCGAGCCTGCAAAAGCAGGACAACTCTATCAGATCCTCCTTGCAAAGGCGCCTTCTGATAAAGAGCGATCCTTTTACAATGACAAACTTGGTCAAGTATATTATTACCTAGGAGAGCTCTCGAAATCAGTCTCATTTTTTGAGCGAGCACTTAATATCAACGAGGCAATTCTCCCTCCGAATCATCCCCACTTGGCTTCTTCCTACAACAACATCGGGTTGGTGTATGATAACATGGGCGAGTACTCGAAAGCACTTTCATCGTATGAACGATCACTTGACATCAAGAAAATAGCTCTCCCTCCGAATCATCCCGACTTGGCTGCTTCCTACAACAACATCGGTATAGTTTATAAGAACATGGGCGAGTACTCGAAAGCACTTTCATTGTATGAACGATCACTTGAAATCCAGAAAATAGCTCTTCCACCG